ATGGCCATTTTAAATTTATTAAGAAAAAAAAACAATATTTTGTTTATAGTGATAACTGTATTTTTATTTTAAAGCCGAAAATATGCAACATGACACAAAGTGTGAATTTTGAAAAAAATTTTTTTTTATATAATTTATCGTAATAATTTTCGACACAATGTGGTCATTTTTGAAGAAAAAAAATTGTTTTGAAGAAAAAAAATGGCCATTTTAAATTTATTAAGAAAAAAAAACGAAAAAAAATTTTAATCTATTACCTCAAAAAAAAATGCCAAAGGCAGGTAATAGTTAACCTATAAACTACAAAAAAAAAAAAACACCAGGCAAGACACAAAAAGATTTAGAGGGAGGGGATTGACACGGAATGGCGAGGTTTGTTTGTACTGAATGGCCACTGGTCACCTCCATACGTCCACACGACCGGTCCCGCGGGCGGACGAGCGCAGTCGCCGACGCGTTTGTTCGCAGAGACGATCACCCAGACGACTGGTTTGGGCCCGACCACAACGACCGCTCAAGCGACTGGACGATTGGCGGTGGGGCGGCTAGTGGCGCGATGTTATGCGCTCGACGATTGACAGGTGCTGAGGACGACTGTCGCGACGACGACAGCGGAGACAAAAGCACTGGGCGAGCGAATACAGCTGTGATTGCTGCGGAACCGAAGCTGGAAGTCTCGCACCGCCGTACCCTGAAACTCATAATCGAATTCCCGCGGGTCCGGCGATGCTGCGACTTCCAATTCCTAGCATAGCTCTATCACTCGGCCTTGTGCCATAAAGTCTCCGCCGCCGCCGCCACAACTAGCCCTCGTGCACGCTCTGTCATCGTCGACGTACCGTCGGGGCGGAATCGGTGCCCACGCCGGTATACAACTAGCCGCCGCGCCGTGTCGTCGTGCGTCACTGCAAGGGCGGCCGAAGCAGCCGGGCCCGCGCCGAGTCGCCAGATGGTCTCGCCAACAAGCGACGCCGGCAACCGCTAACTCGTCGCGCCGCGTGTGGCCGTGGGACGTACTCGGGCGACATACCGCCTTTCACCGAGTGCACTTTTCCGCGTCAATCCCCTACGTGTGTCTTGCGTGGCGCTCCTCGGCCGAGGAGGAGGGAGCCGTGAACTCCGGCCGGTTACTCCCCTCGGAAGCAACCGCACATCAGGAGACGTGTCATCCGTCTCACTCCCTTCCAGGCGGTGGCGACGATCCTCCGTGATCGACCGCCCGGAAGTTTGCAACGTTTCTGTTCTGATGGCGGATGCTCCTGTTCACCCGACTCCTCCACTTTTGTATCGGCCTCGGCCGGCACGTCTTCCCCTAACACTGTTAACTCGTCAACTACTTTTTCTGCGTCCTGCTCGTCCGGTCCGACGTTCGGCGTCGCATCTCGCCCGGACGATCCGGGCGCTTCGGGGAGATGCGACACATTGTCACCGCAGGCGAATTCCAAACTCACATCTTCGCACACCGTCTCGACGATCCCGTCTAGAACAGACGACACTACCTCGTCTATGGACTCCGCTTCGGGCTGCATGACTACGTCGTCGGTCGTGTCGTCTGCTTCAAGTGCGTCGATCGAATCGCATAATACGACGTTCTCCGTTTGTATGGTAGGGCCGGTCGTATCTGATCCTGGCTGTTGTTCTCCGAGGTTGGTGTTATCCCCGGTGCCTTCGTCCCTCATCAATATGTCATAGATGGCCATTATATCGGCGTAGATTTCGTCGACGATCGTTTCGATTTCTGCGTTCATGATGTTTAGTTTGGTGTTTTTTGGCAGTGAATTACTAGTTTTGCGATCAGTGATGTCGGAGACAAAATTTGCAAGTGAATCAAAATAACAATCTCACCTTAAACAGTCGACGAAAAATTAAAATATCCCCCTGACGACGCGTCCGGCGTCGTTTATAACTAGCCAGCGAGTCGTCGTTCTTAACGGCCGGCGTTTGGATTTTGGGCACGCTTATTTTTCCAAACATATTATAGTTGTTTTTACACCCTAAGACGCGTAGGCACCTACACTATATTTTAACGAAGATCGGTACTTCGATTTGTATTTGTACTATAGTTTTATAGGTAGTAGCAGAATAATAATAAAATAATAACTAATAACTTAAATAACTAATACGTCTTGTAGTATTTTAGAAACTGCAGGGCGGAACGGAATGAATATATTTATTTAATAAGGACGTGAGTTTTTTTTTCTTGTATGTGTACATGTTTTGTAGTAGAAAAAAATACTTCGATATTGTAGTTATTTGTTACTTTTGAGCGGTGAATATATTCTTCTGTTTTTTCAAACATATCTATTATCTGCGGTCTGAACTTGGAAAAGGTCAATAATTTAGTGAGCTATTAATATTATTCTGCATATTTAAGTATCATATTTTACAAATATAAGAACGGATCCCTATAATTTTTTTTCATATTACGTTCTTTTTTTGTGGCAACCAACAATACAATATTGCTACGAACACCAAAGGCTGATCAAAACAATACTCCAATCATACTAGAATAATTATTGTGTATATTATTTAAAAAAATAAAAAACAATTATTTAGCATGAATAAAATAATAAATTAAGTAGGTACAATGAATGCCAACTCTATATGAGACTTGATGGTGATAATGCGAGCAGTATATTATGCCTACCTGTTGTGTATTATTGAAATAATATGTTTTATGTTTATTTTGATTGCGGACACGCTGATGAGCGGCTATAAGTGCAACTCAGCCACTTTGGCAGGCAATGTGCGAAAATTCAATTGTATACATACTTATACCTGATCTGCCCGATGAACCATTGCAAGCAACCAATAAACAAAAAAAAAACCATTTCTCTTATAACCATTAGCAACCGTATACAAACAAATATTTTCTTCGTAAATCTTAAAATCTCTGTTTGAGCAACTCTCCGGGTCGGACCTATCGGGTCCAATTGTGAATCTAAACCATCCAGGATTATGTCTTGTTAGATTAGTAAAATAAAATAAAATAAAATTGTACTCACGCAGTTTTTCTGGTAACGCCAACAACGGAAAATGGAAAATGGAGTCGTAATAATCGAATAATCATATTTCATACAGATAAAACCTAAATGTTATCTCTACTATCGACCATTATGTTTTATGTAAAGAGAGGGTATTTACGACTTTAAATAAAATCGAAGGGAATAAAAATGATACGAAAATTATCACTTTACAAAATTTAAACTTTACTTTATATAGTGAAACATAATATTAATACCTAATATTCAATATTATACGACATATTTCTCCATGTTCATCCATTTTTTTTTTTTGCGATGGCCTGCAGTTTAACGATTAGTTTTGTCATATGGACAATTTTATAAGCTAAAGCTTGCTGTAGCTTTTTCAATTCAAAAAAACATTCCGGAACTCAAAAAATAAATCACCAAAAAAATTGTTCCAAAATATTTTTTCGTATAAACTTTCTCCTGGAAATTACGAACAATTAAAAAAAAATTTGAGACAAATCGTCCAGCCGTTCTCAATTGATGATTGTTATACATTTTTGGTTCCATTATATATATATATAGATTACAAAAGCATTATGAAATATTATATTTAAATTTGGCAAACATTATTTTAACTCCACGATAATAACAACATATTATGGTGTGCACTTATTATTATACTATACAATATACATAAGTATACCATAACTCATTAAACATAACATATACCGATGATATTGTAATACATATATTGTGTATGCACTCACTTTTCGTAACATTTTTTTATTAGAAATATAATTAATTATGTAATAATATTTACACTAATAAATATGAAGATGGGTATTTCGTGTATAATTATTTTTTTTTTTTTTAATGAGTTGATGTAACTCGATCCATTTCTTATTTAATTGCCATCTAGGTTGAAAATCTAATTATATAGTAGGGACTTCTACTTTTCTACAGTATAAATACCTAGAACATAGTTCAATAATCATCAGTGTACTCGTTGTTTTTTTGGTGAAAACAAATTTATTTTCAAACATCACATTTTGTCAAAGTGTATACATATTTTTAGTCTAAAACATATTCAAAATGGCTACAAAGGTAAGAATACATTCAATACTTATTATTTACTAATTTTTAACAAGTGCAATTATCATTTTTATTTTTACATTGTTTTACACTACCTAGGTACCTTTAATGTATATAAAATATTTTTTTTTTATAATCATATATTATGGTATCCATAAAATAATATTTAATAAATACTATAATAAACTAGCCTAACCTAATAATAATATGCTAACATTTACAATTTTCAAACAATAGTAACTATAATTTAACGTATAATTATTATATCTTATACTTATCATTAAGTGTTTTAAATTGAATGATACCTTAAATAAAGTTATTTTTACCGCACTTAGAAAAATGCCATTGACTTAAATTACACGTTCTAATGTCGTTTAAATTACATAGGATATTCCGCTGATTATTTAGACAGACGATGTGTATAAGTAACAGAACGAATTAGTTTTACAAACATTATATTTTATTATCACACAATAATGCACAAGTATACATGTTATATTATCAACTCAATACAAACTTAACGTTGAACATTCCAGTTGATTATGTTTGCCACTTTGGTCGGGCACTTGGCCTTTGCTTATCCACCCATTGCGCACAAGAGTTACGTGGCCGACCATCATTACGATCACGCACCTGAACCATACCATTTCGAGTACGGTGTAAAAGATCTGCACACGCACGACATCAAGAGCCAGCACGAGGTGAGCGACGGTCACGGTAACGTCAAAGGATCGTACCGTCTCGTGGAGCCCGACGGTTCTACCCGAGTGGTCGAGTATACCGCTGACCACGAACACGGTTTCAACGCCGTTGTCAAGAAGATCGACGCACCCCATTACCATGGCGGGCACTCTGCAGACACCGAGAACTACCATCAACATCACGAGTTACTTCATCCGTACGAACATTCGTCGTACGACAAGTATTACTGAAATTAAAAAAAAAAAGATGAGGACGCCGATTACACAGGAAAATGTATTGCCAAACAGCTGGCCATATGGTACGAATTATTTGCTGTATTATGCATGTCGTGTATATTTTTTTTATTGAATAAAACATTCACCATTGTTATTATAAGACACGTTGCAGTATTTTTTTTGTCCACGCATGACAACCTTATCACACATTATGCCCAAAAATAGCCCCATTAAGATATTGAATTGATAGATGTGATTTGGCCATTGGCAGAATATATTTAACTCAAAAGAATCAACCTGCAAAACGTATTATAGAATTGTTTCATTAAATAGTTGCTAAGTGGTGTAGTTTATGTGTATATGCGCCTGCACATCCATGCACAACTGTACTTTATCGTAATTTATTAGGGTTCTAAAATTTCATAAATTTTTTTTTTTGAAATATTTCATTATTTGCATGTTTGAAATATTTAATTTCAATGAAAAAATGAAACTTTAATTTAAACTATAGAAGGAAGTATAGTTAACACCTCTGCTTAGTTAAATATTAAGTGGACAATTCTATAGAAATGTTGTTTACATCTTACATTATATATTTATATAGTTAATAACATAATAATTATCTACCTTATATAATATATCTCCTTTATATATTGATAATCACTGATCGGGCATGAAATCAGCCTGACTATCTAGTGATGATTTTATAAAACATACCAAAAACACGAAATCAACAAAATATATTTCTCAATATTTCATTTAAACATTTCAAAGTGAAAATTGCTTGTGGAATATTAATTCATACTCATAACCTTAATCATTAATCGTAATAAAGAATACCATTAATTAATGTAAAAACTGTTATTGAAGTAAAGGTAGATGTGAGTGTAATTCAATTCAAATGTTTTGTCTAATATTATAAACATATCTTAAACTCCTTCATTTGTTATTTGTCTGTAACGTTTTAACATTTAGGCCGCCAATTATTGACTGATAAAAATGCCCTTTCGTTTAACACCAGGCACTGCAGGCGTGGTTTCGCAAAAATGAGCTCGGGGATAGCGGTGACGACTGTTCGCCGGCTGACCTATTATAGTCTACCGCGATAAGAAAAGTAACGAAGTAATAGACGTTACTCCTATCTTAATCCGAAATCGTACATTCCTAACCTAAAACTGCTGGGGACCTACTCAAAAACGACACTGATCAAGGCGAGAACTGTTCAGGCGCCTCTCGGTGGAAAGATCACAAAAATGAAAATACTGTGAATCAATTGCCAGCGAGATGTATTGTCAGAACAATGCTAATATGCATGCTACAAATACGACAGCCCCCCAAACAACTACCATTTATTATAAAAATATAAACTATAATTATCTTCAATGGAACCCACGTATTATTTTTACACACACATGCGAGATGAATAATAGTTAAAAGATGTATGTTGTTAAAAAAAATGTATTTGAAATTGTCAATAACTTTGGGATTCTGAGCAGAGCGATGAATATATTGATCTGACAATGGTATGTGTTTGTTTTTCACTTAGTCAACTTCAGAAACTATTCTGGTTAGGAAATGAATATAATTGGAGCATCCAGAGGTCAAGATTGAAAATTCATAGTACCTAATTACTAGTTTTCAAAAAATTGGTGAAAATAAAATAAAGGAATAACTGTAATACAACTTTTGAGTTTTGACAAAACGTATTTTGGTTTTTTGATTTAACTGCTCTTAAAAAAATAATCATAGTCAACATGAAATTTACACTGAATGTTTGTATTATAATTTTCTATACATATCATAACATTTTCATAATATTTTGACTCTTTTCTTCAGATATTGATAAGATTGACTTAGATTTGTACTTGTTTTATTTAATTATTATCAATAAAAAATGTTCACACTCAAAAAAACTTAATTTTATGTAATTAAGTCCCACTATTCATAAATCATAAAAGTAAAAAAAGGTTCTATATTTACATCCAAGCATTGAAAATGTAATATATAGTTCCTGGTTGGTTTTAATATCTTGAACAAAAAAAAAAGTTTACCGGTAGGTCAAGTTTTTTGAGAGAATTTGAATAAATTTTTTTTTTTATTGATTTTAAGCCCTGTAGCTATGGCCATTAGCTGATTTTGAAGGTTTGTAGGTTTGTTGGTTTGTAGGCGGGACGAACGGTAGGTTGTAACACCTGTGTTTGTGTTTGGCAGAATTTTGATTATTCACCCGTAGGTTTCTGCCACGCGCGGTTGGGGGATGGAGGCCCCCCTCCCCACAGATTTCTGTCCGGAGAAAAGTGCCACCCGCGACCGAGGTTCAAACCGGCGATGGTGCAAGTTGCAACCGACGACGCCTTAGTCTACTCGGCCACTCTGTCCCTCCATTTGAATAATTATGCCATAAATTAGCGAATTTTCATCGAAGGATTTTTTAATTTTATTATTAATCAAAAACGAATAACGCAATGGATACTTGAAATTTTCAGAAAATGTCTATATTTTTCTACTACTAGTATTTTAATATTTTTTGAACTATTTATAGCTATTTTAAACTTGTTTTTGTAGTTAATTTTTATAAATGTCAATGAAAAATGTTTTTCAGTTAGAAACCGTTAAAATTTAATACAAAGCATATTAGGAAAAAAAGTCAATATCCTTCAATAAAAATCGCTCATCCCCACAACGTGTCCAATCATCTAAAACCATAGTACAATAGAACAAATAATGATGAATTTTAATTTATTTTTCTGTTAGTAATAATACTCCACTTTATTGACAATTATTATTATTCATATCCCATAGGTTATAGTATTTTTAGATTCTGAGTGGAGCGATTAAATGTATTGATTTTTTAGTTTTTTTTGTGTCTATGTACACGATAAGTATTTAAAATAATGCATCGATTTTCAAATTCAGTATGAGCGAAGACGGTATGTCAGTTAGATTTAAAAAGAACAATTTTTATGAATTTCTATCTCAAAATAATTTGAAAATTTTCGTCATTTTAACGCATTTTGTCAATATTTGAACTTTAAATAATTATAAAAAATTGTGAGTATAAAATACATATTTATTTTTTAAAAATAATTTCTTCAAACGACATTTACTGAAATATGTAGATTAGAAAACGAATGAAGGATTTAATGCTTTTATTAGCATACACATTTTTTAAGGGGCTAAGGCTCTACAAGTCTTTTCCATCCCACCCCAAAATGAGCACATCATGCATCCATAACAAATTTTAGTTACTTAGTGCATAATATAAGAACACATTAATATTAGATTCATGCGCGAACCGTGGGTGCTAATTTTGTTCTGACCACAGAGAATAGAATAGGAATGAGTTCATAAGTCATAATTCGATCGAAGAATAAATTAGGTCTTTAAAAAATCACTGACAAAGCATTATTTTAGATGGTAATTATGCACATACATGATGCGTTATAAGAATATAAGATATAATTACTTAAATTACAATTAACCAAAGCTAGCATGTATACGTAATAACAGACTGTACTTTTATTGTTTTTGCAAAAGAGATTTCAGAACTTGCAACTCCGCATTCTAGCTTTAACCAAAATATAAGTACTCACTTCTATTTAAAACTTATTATCTATGATTCAGTTACAACTGTAAGACGCTCATAATAAATTATTTTATGAAAAGTGCTTAATAGTATTTACAATGTATAATTTACTGTTTATTTATTATTATTTAATATATAATTATTCACCAGTTATTTTAACATAAAGTATAATATTATGATCTTTATTAAATTAATAATCCTATTCATAAGTTTTTCTTTTTTGTTAAGACGTCAAACCATATGTAAAATAATATTGTTTTGATGTTTATGAGGTTTATGATGTCTATAGTTAAAAATATATTATTAAAATGTAACTAATATTCAACTGAAAAATAATATAGGTAGGTTAATGTATAATTCAATCACGAAGTCAACCCAAAGTTTTTTTTTTTTGCTCTCAATTCTTTCATTTTTTCTTGTATACAATTTATTATTATGTATAATTGTCCATATTTTTTCTATATTTTGTAACCTGACTTTTCAAACTAATATTATATGTTTTAAAATGACCCAGGATGCAATTTACGTACATTTCAAGAATTTCCGGCAGCAGATTACGCAGACATGGCTTTATCTGGGTTATTTATAAGTTAATTTACATTTAAAAAAATGAAATTATAATCATTTGTATTTCATTACTACATAATCTGATAATATGCAAATCAACGTATAGGTAGGGCATATGTCATCGAACAAGAACCTTTCATTACTTTTGTTTTATTCGGTTTCCGTGAGGATACATGCTATAAGCAAAAAAGTAGTAGCTATCAATAGATAATTTATTATTAAACAAATAATACTATATCTGCAATGTTAAGTTAAAGTAAATAATCGTGTAAAATAATATTTATTGTATTGTTTTTAATTCGAAATAATATTAACACTAATATTGACAAAGATAGCATAATATTTGGTTATACGTTTTTATTTTTTAATAGAAGCGTAATTCACAACAGTCAGTTAGACCGTCGAATTTCAATTTAAAATGTTTGAAATAATTTTTTACATAATTGTTGTCATTTTTGTGGCGATGTGGTGTTACTCAAAATGGCAAAAGAGGCCATTTGAAAAATTGGCAGCTATTATGCCGGGGCCTACTTCTTACCCGATCATTGGAGTAGGATATCAGTTTATTGGATCAACAACAGAACGTAAAAAAAATAATATTTTATTCTTAAAAAAATATAATGTTACCTCGATGTATATTTTTGTAATATTTTTTAGAGATCATGAGCACAGTAATTGGATATGTGAAAGATTATAATCTCGAGCCATATAGACTTTGGATTGGACCATATTTTGGAGTAGTCATTGTTAAACCAGAAGACCTACAAGTAATTTCATTTTAAAAGCAATTAAGGTATACTTACTGAGATTTGATATTGAAAAAAATTAATTATGATTGAAAATGTATAATGATAATCAGATTGATAATTATAATGAAGTTTGACATAATTAAATTTTATTTTTTAACTATATTATGATATACATATAAAACACATGCAGATAGATTAGGTGTTATAATAACTATTAGCATTAACATGTATGAAAATCAATTTTAAACTTTAAAAATACTTCTCCTTAGTACCAACAAAAGTATCAACGAAATATAAAATTAATAACTTTAAAAAATGACAATATATTGGTCTATAAATCGTAACCATACATTTTTTAGATTGTCTTAAATAGTTCAAAAGCGCTTCAGAAAGGCAGTATGTACGTTTTTTTCAAGAACATTGTTGGTGAAGGCTTATTTTCTGCACCAGGTAAGTTATGTACAAAAGTTTAAACTATTTATATTTGTAAAAGGTAAAAATAAAATAATTTTTGTGAATACAAATTTACGTTTTATCTACTATATTTTTGATTATAATTCAAAATAATTTAAAACAATTATAGTTGACAAATGGCGGAAACATCGTCGAATCATATCGCCTTTGTTTAGTGGTAAACTTTTGGCACAAGTTTTCCCAGTATTTGTCGAGAAAAACAAAATCCTTGTAAGGAACGTCACGAAACAATTAAATAAAACACAAGCGTTCGATATCTGGGACTATATTGCACCAGCCGCACTTGATACTATTTGCGGTAAGTAAACAATATTTTAATCTTTAATATTTGAGATAATTATCTAGTTTCTTTATTATTTCTAGAAATTACTATGGGTTACAATCTTGACACTCAATCGAACAAAAGTGAATGTGAATTTGCCGAAGCAGTAATAACGTAATATGAAACAAAACAGTCATAAAGACTTAAATAGTATAACATAATACATTGTGTTTATTATAAAACATTATAAGTTATAACCATTCAGTACGATTTCGTCTGCAAATCAACAACATTTTTTTCTAAATTTCCATACTCAAAATTTTATTTACATCTATCATTTAGTGCCTTAAATTCGTAATTATCAACCACGTCAATGTACTTTTAGAGCAACAGATTTAGACGCGATGCGAATTTACAAGCCATGGTTACATCCAGAATTTGTTTTTTCAATGTATGTAAAACTCACTGGACAGCAAAGAGTCTTTGAAAAAGTGCAAACATTTCCAAAACAAGTATGTCGTTTAGACTTAAAGATTTTTAAAAAAACACTACACAATATCCAATAATCAGATGGTATGGATCTAATGTATGTATGTAATAATTTATTATTATTTTACTTGCGTAGTAGAAGATTTGTTATTGTGAATAAATGCCCAGGCATTGTGGACAATACCCCAGACTCTAGAATCTAGATGTAGGTATATTGTTCTAGGTCAAGTCAACATAAACATAAACAAATCCATAAAATGGGCAGAAATAAAGGTCTATACAATCGGCTTAAATTACACATATACACACACTTATGAACATCATTAATAAAACAATTTATTAAGATTAATAGTCAATACACTTACTTAATAACGAAACATAATATTACGAACAATGCTCTAGTGGGTCCTGCTAATCCGGACGGGGTTAGGAAATAAAGTAAATGAAAAAAAAGCATATGGAAAAAAAAGCAAATTGAAAAAAAGCGAATGAAAAAAAGCATAATGGAAAAAAAGCGAAAACAAATTATTATTATTTATTATTATAGGTATACATTTTACATAATAACAAAAATTACTACTAATGTATTAATTTTAGGATTATAACCTATGCTATAGCATACTATATTTTGATCAAACTCATATTTCGGGAATAAATAGACCAATTGGAATTTCACGGCCAGGTAAAAAAACTAAATTTCGAAATATCCCGCCAATCTTCCCACCTGTTACGTAAAATGTACACGAAACAACTATTAAAAATGCAGAGCGTACTAATAATCAAACAGAAGGATTTAATCATCGATTTTCTAAACTCGATAACTATAATCATCCCTCTATTTGAACACTGATTAAAAAAATTAGATTAGAGATAGATTTAGATAGCACTATCATGTTGATGCACTTAATATGTAATACCTACACTTATGACTTATTATAACATTATAATATACATAATATATTTAATTAATGAATTATTTTTATTTGATTTTTTTTTAACAAACTATTTGTAATAATTTATACCTATAATAATAATAATTGGTTTTCACTTTTTTTTCCAATATGCTTTTTTTTCACTCGCTTTTTTTCAATTTGCTTTTTTCCATATGCTTTTTTTCACTTGCTGTTTTTCACTTGCTTTTTTTCCTTTGCTTTTTATTCACTTGCTTTTTTTTCCTAAACTCAATCCGGACGGTGACGTATTATATGCGACAAGTTGTTTGACGATCACTAAATGGCTTGTTATAATGTATACATACGTGAATTCGTCATTTTTAGGTAATCAAAGAGAAGAAAAGCGAATTTGACCAGAAAAAAAAAGAAATTAATGCTAAAATAAACGTTACCGACGGTAAAAACGGTGAGTTATTTTGGAAACGTGGACTTAAATAATGATTGTGTAAATAAAAATCCAGGTTTTTAACACTAGTTATCAATTATTATATATATTACCCTACATAAATAGCAGTAAAACCAAAAGAAATAAAAAAAAAATATAAAACTAACAAATTCTAAATAACATGTATTAATTTTTAGAAAACCAATCAAAACTATTTTTGGATACATTGCTTGAACTGAACAATGATGGTGAACATTTTTCAGAATCTGATATTAGAGATCACGTTGTTACCATATTGTCAGGGGTAAATATATCGTTTATCTTTTGTAAATGTTATAATTTTCGTATGAAAAATGTTTTGAATAAAATGTGTAAATGTAATTACAGGGCAGTGAAACCAGTGCTATCACAATCTGTTTCTGTCTTTTGATGTTAGCTATAGAACAAGATATCCAAGTAAATATAATACAATACACCTAAAATATAACTAAAATATACAGATATAAGTCGTTGTGATATCTATTAAATATTAAATGTTTATAGTATATACCAATGTTAAATAAGTAAAACAAATTATTTTGTTGGTTGATTTAGTTTATATTTTAGGATAAGGTATATGACGAAATTTACCATATATTTGGTGAAGGTGACCGAACAATAACTATTGAAGACACTACTAGACTTGTGTACTTAGAAAAAGTGATAAAAGAAACCCTTCGGTTATACCCTGTTGGGCCAGTGTTACTCAGATCAACTGAAGAAGATCTTCAAATATGTGAGTGAATTTAAAAATGTACTACAAATGCATACGATAAAATCAAATTAACTGTTATTTAGTTTCAAGTGATTACGTATTGCCTAAAGGAACAACATGTGTTATAAGCGTAATAGGCACACATTATAATCCTGATTTGTACCCGAATCCTTGGACTTTTGACCCTGAAAGATTCAGCCCAGAAAATGTCGCTAAACGTCATAGATATAGCTTCATACCTTTTAGTGGTGGTCCAAGAGGTTGCATAGGTAAAGTTATATTTTGTGAAATAATAAATATTAATGAACAATTACAATATGTATACTGTAATACTATATTATATTTCAATTCAAACCACAGGAACCAAATATGCTATGATATCGTTAAAAGTCGGCGTGTCTACGTTCTTGCGAAATTTTAGCGTACATACAGATATCAAACATACAGATATTAGGTTAAAATTAGGTTTATTGATGAGAAGTGCTAATGGTTACCCTGTTACGATTCGACCACGAGTCAAAAGACCGACATATGAGTGAAATCAGAATTCACTAGGATAATGCACAATTGATTAATGATTAATCCGATTCATGAATTTTTTAAATGTTAAAATTAATGTATTATGTGTATTTTTGAATACAGTATATGGTGTTGACAAGAATAAACTGCCAAGTGGAGGTTACATACTCAGTTGTTTAATAAACGTAATTTGTTTACTGCTCAGAGCTCCAGAAGTTTTCTTCACCACTGTGATAACTTAAATACGTTTTTATTTAAATTATTCCAATCAAGTTAAAATTAAAACATTCAATATCAAAGAAATATTATATTGTTCATTGATTATGAATTATATTCGTTCTTAGGAGTTAGATATGATATAAAAAAACCCATTCACTAAAAAAGTTAAAGTTAGATTCTTTAGGTCAGTGGTGACAAAGCACGGCTCGAGGGCCATATTCGGATATCGACCATTTTTTTAAATGTGTTAAAATTAATTCCAAATTGAAAAAAAATACTAACAATGTAACTAACATTGTAACGTTTGTTAAATTTAAGATTAATTAGTATTTCCCATTTCTTATTGTGTAAATAATAGTCTAATTTGTATCAGTGTACCTATATTAATCTGTGCCAACAATGAAACATAATATTCACTAAAGGAAATATTTGAACTCTTGGTCCGCCAATAATTTTGTATAGCTTTTTGTAAAAAAATCATACTTTTAATTTAGATTCATTATATTTATGTATACTTACAATATGTGTCTAATATTTATCTTAACTTAAAAACCTCAAAAAATAACTTTAAATTATTAAATTATGATTATCTATAAACTATAGTAAATAAAACATATTATTTAAATAATTTTAAAGGCAACTCAAACACAACTTCACAAAATATTCTTTAAGAAAACACGGCAAAATGTTGTATCAATACAAATTTGCTTTTGTCTGTTGGTAAAGGAAAAAAATGTTTTTTTAAATATATCATACATCACAAAAAGATTTTTTAATGTTTAACATCATTTGATAGATTATAATAGGTATTTTTTTTAAATTGACCTTTGACCTATTTTAAATTGATTTGTGTTATTTTTATCATTTTGAACATAATTATTTTATTGAATTTTTAAGATATTTATTTAAATACACGATGCATTAAAAATAATCATATTTTTTATAAAATAATGAAATAAAAACAGTTAAGTGTAAATGCATGATGTCATTCCTGAACAACAACCAACTTTATGATCTTATAATTCATCAGTTTAAGTTCATAATTTTTATTTTCATTTTTCCCATGTTATTTAAACCCTAAAAAACGTCTAAAAAAATATTGCCATGAAAAAAAAATCATGAATTGTAAGGTTAATAAAATTGGGTCTATTGAAACTTAAAATTATAACTCTAATAACATATTATATGAACAGTTACAATTGAATGACAATAACTTAACAAAATTAATAGCTGTTAATGACGATAAATTTAGAGCTACCTTCATTTCCATTAATTAAACAAACAAAAAACTGACAAGACTTTAATAATTAATCAGACTGTTTCAAGGGAAAGGAGGACAGTCGACATTTTTTTAAAGGTTGTAATTACATGTACTGAACGGGCCGGGAGCATAAAAAATATTACGCGTGCCCGAACGCCAATGCTTTTGAGCACCACTTACACCTAGGGTGGAGAAATAATATGGAGATAGCTGGGTGTGTAGTGATGTAGTAGTTCAAACAGTAGTGGTCGGGGTTGCCGGGCAAATACTGTAGAACTACGTAATGCGTGTTGTGCGAAAAGTGTGTTTTTGAGTACAAATGTGTTTATATATGTGGGTGTGTGTACAATAAAACAATAATAATAAAATGGTAACACGGTTTTTGGTAATGAGTTGCTGTTGCTGTATAATACACAATAATAATGACACAAATATAAAAAATCACAGCAACACAAATGTATAAAATATAATATAATAAATAAATCAAAGCCCTTATGGCTATAACAGTATAATATTAAAATATAAATTAGCCCTTCTGGCCCAACAAAGGAAAATATGAAATATTATAATTGATTATAATATTAATACGCAGCCTTTATGGCCAACTGGAATAAATTACAATAAATAGTAGCTATTGAGCTGTTAGCTTATATAAGATAAGTGTAAAATACAAAAAGCATACGTGGCCCTTCTGACACACGATACTATAATAATAAGAAAATATCTGCGGTCCTTATGACTCAACAGATTCAAATGTATAATAAATAACTAATAAAATAATAAAAAAAAACTCACAGTTTGTGGAGCGCAGACTGGCCAGCTGGTCCTGTACCTATGCTATAATACGAATAATAATAACACACACAAACAATAATATAATAATTTACCAAATGATATATAAAAAAACTCAGGCGATTAGCTCCTACGATATAATAAATAATAATTTAACCGGCGATTCGCGCACGGCAAAAATACAATGAGTATTGATAACTGGACCAATATAATAATAATGCCCTTATGGCTCACAATAATAAAAGATTACAAATTTCATATATATGCCTAGGTGTATATTATACTCGAGCCTGGTCACTGGCACGACCAAATGGAAAATTGACACCTTGGCCGTGTTAAATAATATTCGCGTGGACGGCGCGGCGGCGTGCGATAACGTTTAATCTACATATTATATAATAATTCACAATCACATAATTAATACACAAAAACAATGAAACAAAAATAAATAATTAAAAATGTGATGATGTGTGTGTGACCAGCTATTCTCTATATCAATATTGTTGCGGTACAAACATGTACTTATACTTAAACATACACAAAATTAAAATATCTGATTTGAATTTTTTTTTTTGTTTGGAATAGTTTTTGATAAAATGATTAGGAATCTTGTATTTGAATATTAAATCCAAGAAATAACATTTTTATGAATTTTGAATTCAAAATAAACAAAATTTCTTTATTTTGACGAATAGGTAAGTATATTATTTATATTATAGTCTCATAAACAAATAAATCGTGATCTAAAGCAGCTCGCGATACTTTACGACCTTATGGCAATGATAATTAATTTTCAAAATTGAATAAAAAATATACAAATCGATTATTTTACAAAATTATATTACTCATCGCTATTATAAACAACAACAAAATCAGCAATAGAAATATTAGTACACGTATACAGCTCATGCTTATTACGTATGACAATAGTTGCATTTTAATCAAGCCCATTTGAAAACATGTATACTATATCCGGCGAGACCCTACTTCACATTCAGAGAATACACACATGCCTAACATTCGCTGTTTGAGCTACACTAATAGATACAGTATCAAATAAAACCAAACACATAATTTAATTAGCAATAAAAATTAAAAAATTAACCTAAACGACATAATAAAAATTGTACTCTAAAAAAATCAACCAACAAACAAACCAAACCAAATTTAATGAAAACAAAGAAAAATACAATAACTATACAGAAATATACACCGACGCATCAAAAGCCAAAACCCTACATGGGATTTGGCATTGCTGTCAAAACAAAAATCACAGCAATAGCTTAAAAAAAATGAATGACCACTATATGAATGTTTCCATTTTTGAAAGTACTGCAATAAACAGCAGTTAAGTATAAATTAAACCAAGACGATCAATATCCTCACTTACTCGCTAAGCACACTATCAAGCTTATGCAATTGATTTAATGCCAGTGAAATTGAAGTGAAAATGAAAAATTCAATCAACGAACAAAACAAAAACAATTCCTTTATATGGATACCAGGACACAGGTACCTACATTCGGGGTAAAGAAATAAAAAACAAGACAAAAAATCAAGTTACACTTTTGTTATTACACATAACTCCTTAACTACATTAGACTGAGTTACTCTTAGATATTAGTTTTAAGTTTTAACTTATAACATTAAAATGAAATATTAAGAAAAATAATATGCATATTGAATTTACAATAAACTTTAAACAAACAATTTTAAAATTAACAGTGATCAATAAATGCATTTATTTATTTTGACAAAAAAACATTAAATATCGAAATAACTATAATGTATTTGTTTATATTGTTATAAACGCCTAAAGGCTCAAGTACAGCACATATAAATAAAATACATCACGGTGAATCATAAATACTTGAAATTATAATACTAAAATAAGAAAAGAGAAAAAAAATTATATACACACATAATGCGCATGATATTAATATTAATTAAAATAGCAAATAAATATGAAGCAATCTATATTTAACACGACAGCAACAATAAAATATATTAAGAGGAACTTGGTTTAACGTACGGGAGACTTATGCAACAAATCATAATCTTTTAAATCATTACATTCTCTGGCAATACGACCCAAGGGGTTGTTATAGGCTTATAGGCATATATAGTAGTATGAAATGGAATTGAAAACGTAGGATAGGAACGGGAATTTTATAGAGAAACCTGGACATTTGAGGAGTGTAATAAATCCGGACAGGATATACGCGATTTATTAATTGGTACATAAAATACATATCTATGGATTTTCGTATGATGTAGGTATTATTATGGCGGTACTGTTGTAACATACATAATTATAAAAATAATTAATATTAAAAATATTAAATAGGCTAAGTAAATACGTATGTAACAATATTTAGTATTCAATTTTAGTCAGTAAGTTTTAGCAGATGCAGCAAAACAAAAACTAGATTAAACGACAATATATTTTAAGTCATGGTATATTAGACAAATGAGAGGTCAGTGTTGGTGATCGGGTGACTAGGTTACCACCAGACACCAGTGTTTATTAAATATGATTATAATATTATGTGTTCGTTTATTGTGCACGTCAAAGTGATCTACGTATACGACAGTACGAAATCAAAGTATAAACATTATTCGACTATCAAGTCAAGAGGAATTTAAAATTTAATTGTTCGAGATTATACAAAATATTATAAAATACTACACTGTTTATTAATGTCAACATACGCAAAAGAACTTAAACAATTATAATTAAAATAAAATGCTGAGACGCCAAGCTGTCTGTACAGCTCACAATGGTCGACTTGAACTTTCAGGAAGGTCGCCGACCTCGAGCCGAGACCTTGTTAAAACGGAGCACCGTGGATTTGTTATTAGGGAGAGAGAGAGAAAAAAGGAAATAAATAATTATTTATTTATTTATATATTTATTTAATATACATTTGTTAAACGGGAAAACATTTTACTGTTGTAAGCTAGGGCTGATAAAGCCGAACGGGATAGAACTTGGACTGAAATATTATTAGGTGGGAAATTACATGACATACAATTTGCAAATAAACCATAAAAACATGGTTTATATGAAGCAGCAATGATAGTAATTGACCACAATAATACTCACAATGATAATAGTAATTTAGGAAACCTCTAAATTGGACACCGGCGTCCGTAGACGCCGAGGTACAAATTACATAATAATAATTGTTTGAGTAAGACTCACATACCGGCCGGAGATATTTGTTCAAAACATGATAATATATAAAAAAAACCCTCCCATCATCCATCAATTCTCCGGCGGCGAAACCGCCGTAATTAGGATTCATGAATTGTGAATAATTCTGATATCGCACATAATATTATTGAAATGTAACTAATATTTAACTGAAAAAATAATACACTTAGGAATATGAATGTATGATAATTTCCTTACAAAGTCAACCCTTATAAATTTTTCTCTCTCGAAATTCTTTCATTCTTTCTTATGCACAGTTTGATATTATGTACTATTGTCCATTATTTTTTTACTTTTTGTTCTCTGACTTTTCAAACTAATATTGTATGTTTTATTTAAAATGACCCAGGACACAATTTACATACATTTAAAAAATACAAGGACAGCAGTTAAAGCCGCTTAGAGACAGGTCGTTTCACCACTTGTCACGTTATTTCAGCTTACTATTGTGTTTTTGTATCAGGGCTTGCATTTGAAAAAAAAATTTTGTTTTACGTTATTTACAATCAAAACGTTATTCAACTTTTGTGTTTATCGTTATTCAGAATTAAAACGTTATACAATTTTTGCATTTATCGTAATTCATAATTAAAACGTTAAACAATTTTTGCGTTTATCGTTATTTAAAGTTTAAAAGCATTTAGATACCTGTTTTAAAAGTACACAGGCCGCAATTTAAAAGTAAATGACTATGACCTTTTTTTGGGGACATAATTTCCCTATTCTGAGTTTTAAGTAGGTATTGTATCATTTTATTCATTTTATTTCATTTTATAAAATGGGTTAAACTAATATAAAGAAAACGTATGCACGTTAAAACTATAAGTATATTAGTATAAAATATAAATATTAAACATTTGACAACAATTAGACAAACACTGACGAGTGACTACTGAACAAATCTGTGCAAACTGAACACCGAACACAATAGTTGAATAACTTGAATGGTATAAATTTCGACCGTAGTACACATATTATAGTACAATATTATCAGAGTATCACTATTATTAGGTATTGGTAATTAAATTATTCTATTAATACCTTCTTATTAAGTTTTAAAATAATATCTAATACGAGATCTCCCGGAGAGGCAGGCCGGATGCAGAATAAAATTAATTCTTGGATTGAATAAATAATTGAATACTATTAAGTATTATTAAATAATTGGAAATTAATTATTTCGTTTAATGGAATACAATATATACCGTTTTGCGTTATGTTTTGTTTAATGATATATCATATATTTTGTTAAACGTTACGTTTTGTTTTGTGTTATTTATTTATTTATGTTTATCGTTTTTCGTTATAATTACGTTTACAAATTTCAATCGTTTTTTATCAAATATAACGTTATAATCATAGCGTTATTATAACGTTTGCAAGCCCTGTTTTGTATTTAAAACATATGCTCAATAAAGAAACTGTTGAGGCTATAAACATCACATATTCATTTCCTGAGTTTATGTAAGTATCGACGAGCCGAGACGTAATTACGTAACATAATGAACAATTTTTGGACCTTGAATCGTAAACATATTTTATTCGCACGACAATAATTCAAATACTTGACAGCAATACATTATGTAACTACCTATATCAAATTTCAGTTATTCAGCTTAAACGTATATTACTATATTAGTATTTATTAACTACCTTCTCTGCCTATAGCCTGCAATTTCTAAGGTAGAGCTCCTAGTCTAGATCTATAGTCTCTATAAATGGGTGGCCAAAGAAATAAGCGACTTACTCTTAGTATACATATTTACTATGTTTACTGGTTCTACATAAAAGGAATGGTGTTGGTGGTTGAATATAATTTAACACTGTAAAAAGTGTATAATATTAAAATATAACTTAATGCCTTAACCATGAGTGCTAATTTAGTTCTGACTACAGAGA